TTCTGTCAAGTCTGAGAGCGACAGCTCCATCTGGTGTATTCACTACTCCCCCCCCCCCCCCAAGTGTCATTAAACAGCAATTCTTACATGTAAAATCCTGAAAAATAGTTTCTGACAATGAAAGCTGACTGAAAAAAATAAATCAGGAGCAACAGTTTTTCTTGGGGAAGGGTAGTAGTTATGAATTATCCTTAGTAATCTAAGCATCAATATGAAGAAGCAGAAAACAGCACAATATTGCTGTTAAATATTAAGGCATCCTAGGGCTCACAGGAAAGTACATGCTGCAGATCCTGCCATGGTCCCGCTGTTTATGGGTTTGCCAGTTATTGGTTTGCAGTGGGGTTACAGTTCACATGGAAACCTTCAGAAATTAGCAGGAATCCCTCACTTCACAAAGCTTTAGATCAGACCTTTAATTCTCCTGATGTATGAATTAATTTCCTCACCAGCACACATTAAATCAATCACTGTGAGGCTCAAGTGTGCAGAACAAGAGAACAGGTTCATCCTGCTGCACTGCAGCATTATTTCATGGCCTAGCAACACATACTATCACTGAGCTGTGCACAACACACCCAGTCATCCCTACCACACCCTCATCATTAACAGTCTCTACTGGGGGTACTGAATACCACCATTTCACACTACCACTTTCCAGTTTGAAAAATTAGCACATACTTCTATCAGATATAGATCAGAGGAAAACATGTCAACATCCATTGTTTCAAGGTCAAACGCCATTTACCAAACAGCCTGCCATTCACATTATCATCTGAATTACAGCTCCCATTGAGAGATAATACAATATAATAAAACCTCTTAGCACAGTTTTACTTGATGGTGCCAAGTTTGTAAATCCATATACACAGACTGTAGCAGCCTTCATTTCACAGGTCCTTCAACAGCCCAGTAGTTAGATGATCACTTCTAAACAAAAAAAGGTTTTAATATTTTTGTATGGTTTTGAAGAGGCAAAGCATTCCATCAAGAGCCTGTTAAAACGCACTGCTCTCAGGGGAACATTTACCATGATGTTGAAAAATATGTGGAAACGCCACAGGTACTACAACAACAGCAAGTGCTGCATTGATAGATATTATGGATATTTCCTCTTTAATAGCACCCACCTTTTTTTTCAGAAAAGGTGACAGTGTAGTAACTTCGCATTACCAAACACTGATATAGAAGGTATGAAAAGTCTTTTTCATCTATTAAACTCATGTGAATTACTCATATAAATTTCAGGAAAAAAAAGTTTTTAAAGTCAGAAATGCTGTCACAACATAAGTATATATGTTTTTAGGGTACTAAATAAATAAATAATCGCACAGTCATTTATTTTGAATGCCACTGTATTCTGAATTTTGTATTTGTAATTTGAATTTTTTATTTTTATTTTGAATTTGGTACTGTCACTGTATTTTGAATGTCACTGAAGGAGCTGGCAAGGATTGCTTTTTCCGAGCTCAAGATTGGAGCATCCCGACACGTAGGAAGTCAAGGAAGAGGGCCAAGAGACCTGCGTGGCTAAATAGGGAATTGCTGGGTATGCTCAAGTGGAAGAGGAGAGTTTACAGGTCATGGAAGGAGGGGCTGGCCACTTGGGAGGAATATAAGGCTGCTGCTAGAGGATGTAGGAAGGCAGCTAGGAGGACTAAGGCATCCTTAGAATTAAACCTGGCAAGAAGGGTCAAGGACAGCAAAAAGAGCTTTTTCAAATACATGGCAGACAAAACTAACACCAGAGGCAATGTAGGCCCACTGATGAACGGGATGGGTGCCCTGGTGACAGAAGATACAGAGATGGCAGAGTTACTGAATGCCTTCTTTGTCTCTGTCTACTCTGCTGCGGGCAGTCCTGAAGAGCCCTGTACCCCTGAGACCTTAGATGAAGTCAGGTCGACGGAGCGGTTTGCCTTAGTCGATGAGGAATGGGTTAGAGACCAGTTGAGCAATCTGGACATCCATAAATCCATGGGTCCAGATGGGATGCACCCGCGGGTGCTGAGCGAACTGGCGGAAGTCATCGCTAGACCACTCTCCATCATCTTTACCAAGTCTTGGGAAACGGGAGAGGTGCCTGAGGACTGGAGGAAAGCGAATGTCACTCCAGTCTTCAAAAAGGGCAAGCAGGAGGACCCGGGTAACTATAGACCGGTCAGCCTCACCTCCATCCCTGGGAAAGTGATGGAACACCTTATCCTTGGTGCCATCTTAAGGCATATCAAGGATAAGAGGGTTATGAGGGGCAGTCAACATGGCTTCACCGAGGGGAAATCATGCTTGACCAAACTCTTAGCCTTTTATGAGGAAATAACACAGTGGATGGATGATGGCAGAGCGGTGGATGTGGTCTACCTTGACTTCAGCAAAGCATTTGACACAGTCTCCCACAGCATCCTCACAGCTAAATTGAGGAAGTGTGGTCTGGATGATCAGGTAGTGAGGTGGACTGTGAACTGGCTGAAGGAGAGAAGCCAGAGAGTTGTAGTCTATGGGGCGGAGTCTAGTTGGAGGCCTGTAACTAGTGGAGTGCCTCAAGGGTCAGTACTGGGACTGGTATTATTTAATATATTCATCAATGATTTAGATGAGGGAATTGAGTGTACTATCAGCAAGTTTGCTGATGACACTAAGCTGGGAGGAGTGGCTGACATGCCAGAAGGCTGTGCTGCCATCCAGCGAGACCTGGACAGGCTGGAGAGTTGGGCAGGGAGTAACTTGATGAAATATAACAAGGGAAAGTGTAGAGTCCTGCATCTGGGCAGGAACAACCCCAGGTTCCAGTATAGGTTGGGGAACGACCTGTTAGAGAGCAGTGTAGGGGAGAGGGACCTGGGGGTCCTAGTGGACGACAGGATGACCATGAGCCAACACTGTGCCCTTGTGGCCAAGAAGGCCAATGGCATCCTGGGGTGCATTAGAAGGGGGGTGGTTAGTAGGTCGAGAGAGGTTCTCCTTCCCCTCTACTCTGCCCTGGTGAGACCGCATCTGGAGTATTGTGTCCAGTTCTGGGCCCCTCAGTTCAAGAAGGGCAGGGAGCTGCTGGAGAGAGTCCAGCACAGGGCAACTAAGATGATTCAGGGAGTGGAACATCTCCCTTATGAGGAAAGACTGAGGGAGCTGGGTCTCTATAGTTTGGAGAAGAGAAGACTGAGGGGTGACCTTATTAGTGTATATAAATATATAAAGGGGGAGTGTCACAAGGATGGAGCCAGGCTCTACTCAGTGGCAAACAATGATAGGACAAGGGGTAATGGGTACAAACTGGAACACAAGAGGTTCCACTTAAACTTGAGAAGAAACTTCTTCTCAGTGAGGGTGACGGAACACTGGAACAGGCTGCCCAGGGAGGTTGTGGAGTCTCCTTCCCTGGAGACATTCAAAACCCGCCTGGACACATTCCTGTGTAACATTATCTAGGTGTTCCTGCTCCGGCAGGGGGATTGGACTAGATGATCTTTTGAGGTCCCTTCCAATCTCTAGAATACTGTGAAACTGTAAATGAAGTTGCTAAGCCACTGTCCATCATATATGAAAAATCATGGCACTCAGGTGAAGTTCCTGATGACTGGACAAAAAGGAAATATAACCCCCATTTTCAAGAAGGGGAAAATGGGTGACCCAGGGAATTACAGACCAGTCAGTCTCACCTCTGTGCCTGGCAAAATCTTGGAGCAGATTCTCCTGGAAGGCATGCTAAGGCACATGAAAAACAAGAAGGTGCTTGGTGACAGCCAGCATGGCTTCACTAAGGGGAAATCCTGCCTGACCAATTTGGTGGCCTTCTATGATGGGGCTGTGGAACTGATGGACAGGGGTAGAGCAGTTGATGTCATCTACCTGGACTTGTGTAAAGCATTTGACACTGTCCCACACGACATCCTTGTCTCTGAATTGGAGAGACATCAATATGATGGATGGACCACTCGGTGGATTAAGAACTGGCTGGATGACCGCACACAGAAAGTTGTGGTCAATGGCTCAGTGGCTAGCCGGAGACCAGTAACGAGTGGTGTCCCTCAGGGATCAGTGTTGGGACCGGTCTTGTTTTAACATCTTTGTCGGTGACATGGACAGTGGGATTGAGTGCGCCCTCAGGGGGTTTGCCAATGACACCAAGCTGTGTGGTTTGGTTGATACCCTGGAGGGAAGGAATGCCATCCAGAGGGACATTGACACGCTTCTGAGGTGGGCTGATGCCAACCTAATGAAGTTTAACCATGACAAGTGCAAGGTCCTACACCTGGGTCGGAGCAATCCCAGGCACAGCTACAGGTTGGGCAAAGAAGAGATTCAGAGCAGCTCCTCAGAGAAGGACTTGGGGGTGTTGGTTGATGAGAAAATGAACATGAGCCGGCTTCAGTGTGCTCTTGCAGCCCAGAAAACCAACTGTATCCTGGGCTGCATCAAAAGCAGCGTGACCAGCACGTTGAAGGAGGTGATCCTGCCCTTCTACTCTGCTCTTGTGAGATCTCACTTGGAGTATTGTGTGCAATTCTGGTGTCCTCAACATAAACAGAACATGGAAGTGTTGGAAAAAGTCCAGAGAAGGGCCATGAGGATGATCAGGGGACTGGAGTACCTCCCATATGAAGAAAGGCTGAGAAAGTTGGGGCTGTTCAGCCTGGAGAAGAGAAGGCTGCGTGGAGACCTCATAGCAGCCTTCCAGTATCTGAAGGGGACCTACACTAGGGATTGTAGTGATAGAACAAGGGGTAATGGGTTAAAACTTAAACAAGGGAAGTTCAGGTTAGATATAAGGAAGAAGTTCTTTACTGTGAGGGTGGTGAGGCACTGGAATGGGTTGCCCAAAGAAGTGGTAAATATTCCATCTCTGGCAGTGCTCAAACCAGGTTGGATTGAGTTTTGGGTGAGATGCTTTATTGCAAAGTGTCCCTGCCCATGACAGGGGTTTGGAACTAGATGATCTTAAGGTCCTTTCCAGCTCTAACTATTCTATGATTCTATGATTCACACTGAAGGACCTCTCTTACCATGAGACGATATTTCACTTCTGAATCAACTGGTCTTCCCGCTTCCATGCAGGCTGTAAACCAGGAGATATCCAGTAGTTCAAACCTGGAGCTATCGTCCACACCCTGTCCTCTCAGCCAGTCCATCACCTCTGGGTAGGAGTTGTTCTCGGCCACAATATGAGTGACAGAGTCACTGTCAAAAAGTACACAAAAAGAAATTTTCTTTTTTTTTCCTGAACACATGTGCAGAGCTGCTATTTCCCTATTTACTTACCATGCACTTCCTGAAAATTGTAGTATATATTCTACATTAGGATGTGGGAAGCAGTTTCTGTTTCATATCACAATATATCTATTACGGTCACTGAATCTAGTTTGAGGAAAGACTTCAGTCTGACGGCTCCTGTAAATGCAGCTGCTTTTTTTTTTTTTCAGCATCATCTTCCTTCCCTAAGGTACTATCACACTTTTTTTTTTGCAACTCTGAAAATATTTGGCTTGTAGGAGCAGTACCATAATGAAAAGGCTGCTTTATGACACCCAAGAGACCCTTCCAAATATTTCTGATCAATGAATGAAAGCTTTACAGCATTAAAAAGTCTGCTAACAATAATTCTTTAAGCTTTACAGCTAGTAATATCTTTCTGTAAACGTAACTTTCCTGCACTTACATTACAGTCTTTACATATGGCATTGTCAAATATTCATGACTTAAATCTTATGAATTATGCACTCCATCTAAAGACCACTTCCTTGCTACTAAGAGGCCAGCCTCTTACAAAACTACTATCCTAGTTTAGTGAATGTGAAATTTACAGATCGAGTTATTGTGCATCAGATTATATGGTGTACATTGCTTAAAATATAGTAACACAAATGTTATTACACTAAATTTGTGTTGGTGTCCTAGAATAACATTAGACAGAATCCCATGACACTTCATGATTAAAAAGATACAGTTCTTCACCTTTCACAGGAAGGTGAAAGACAGGGACAATTTTTTTCAAGAAAAAAATTACACACATACTAAGGATGATCTGTAAATTTCTACCTGACCTGATGGTGCTTCTCGGCAAATTTAGAAAACCAATAACTTGATAGAAATTTGGAGTGATTCCTAGGGTTCCCCCTCCACAAACACACCAGGGAGGTGCTGTCACCCACAAAGATAATAAATAAAGGAGCAAACTCTTCATTTCTATGAAACCTCTAGGACCTCAGTATCTCAAAAATATATGCCAAAAATAACTGGTATCAGTAAATAGATTCCTAAACTTCTTGGGGTAAAGGCACAGACAGACGGCGTCATTATTTTATTTAGGTTTTATAAAAATAAGTCTAGAACTGGAATAAAAGTTATCCTGATGGCAGCCACCTCCATTTGTGAGCTTCCATAACCTTCTGGTAGCCCATCTGGTGACAGCCTTGTGTGTATGCAGTAAACAGACCCAACAGATTGCTTTGCAGCCCTTCTGTAACACCTGAAGATACTAAACCACTAACCTGTCCAAACAGAGAGAACAGCACTGGTAGAGACAGCTGTGTAGCTGTTAAAGGCAGACCACACAACCTTTCAAAGCAAACTGCATTCCAGGAGACCAACAAAACCCTGTGACCCCGATTCCTAACAATAACCACTGATTTCATAAAATTGCCAAATCGCAATGACAGATACTGGAGTCATCACAGAAGAAACTGTTATCACATAATTTTCTAATGCATTAAATCTGCTATATTTTGGAAACATAAGAAATGTATTGAATATATTATATTTCAGAAAGATGAAAAACATCATGTTATAGCACAATTTTTTTCCTCTGTGGGCTACAACTTGTAAAGGACAACCCATTGCAAAAAAAAACCACACACAAAATTCAACAAAAAACCCAAAAAAAAAAGACCAAAAAAGAAACAAGAATAAAAGTGCTACTAATATTGTTATTTAACCCTGCTTGATTCTACTGTCGCTAAACCATCACATCTTTAGTTGAGTAAAAAAAAAAAAAACAAAACAGTTAGGGACATAGAACTTCTGTTTCCTGTGGTTTATTTCACTTTATATAAAATATTCATATGTAATATATTTATACCAAGCTGCAGCTCTGGGAACTTTGCCATTGCTATGCTCACAGCAGCAGTTTTGTTGCTGCTGTGCACCAGTTTCCTCTGCTACCTGTACAGCTGTGCTTTTTTTCTTGGCACGGAATATAACAGATTTAGCATTTCCTCTAGTATTTAAAAAAAAAAAAAAAAACAAAAACAAAAAGCAACAGTTAAATAGTTTTATCCAGTAGCATCTAAGCTGAAATTAAACACAGCTCCTGCCTTGCATACAACTTACAGAAAGTCTGAAATACTGGCAGTAAAAACCTGTGTGTCAAAGCAGCTCAGATAAAGCCTGTACTCAGTCCTCAATGGATTGTTAATGTAGGTTTCAGAACAGCCCAGTTAATTTTTTTTCCCTGAGACTTCAATTAGTTTTGTATCAGACACTAATTGCCTACTTCTGTTCAATACCTGCTTGAATCTTGCTTTACAAATTATTTCATCCTCCCTTCTTCCTCAGGCTTTCAAAGTTGATGGGATTGAAAAATCTGTGGAAATGAGCTTTTATAAGGAGGACCCAGTTGTATACTATCTGCATACAGATACAGAGAAACGATCAATACTAGGTTTTCTTCCAGCTTTTCAGACAACATACCTAATGATGTATCTTTCCAAAAACTGCAAAACTATATAACTAGCACTCATGACAAGCACTATTTGGAAGAAGGCTTCCTTCAAAATGAGTTGGGTTATTGAAACATCACAGGATGAATCTACAGCTGGAGTATAATTTCACCCTGAAATGCCACACCTGTGGTATTTTATTCTTACTTTTTTTTTTTCTCCAGTGCTCTGTCCAGATTGTACCAAATGCAAGCCAGTAACTTTGATACATCAGAGTATTACTCACAGGAAGAGTAAATATTAGAATATCAGAGATGTTCTAGAGAAATGCCCTGACACACGCACACATATTTTCCCTTTCTATATGTTTAACCTTTTTTTTTCATTTCAGGAATTGGCCTTTAAATTCAGATTAATCTTCATCTGACTTCAAGGGGAAAATAGCCTATTTAAATCAGCTGAAGACATGACTCATTGATTCCATTGAGACTATACAGATACACAGAAACGTATCCCATGAAAAATATTTGCAAGTTCACACCTTGCATTTTTTATTTTCCATGTGAGAAGCTGCACACTGAAAAGGCAGACACGTTAAAACTGACAGACTTAAGACAAATTAAAACCACAGATTTTAGAGATGAAAAATAAGAAATGTTGCTGTTTATATTCCACCTACTCTCTGCCCAGAAGGCATACTTTAGGAGCACCTACTGAAATCCTGAAGCATCTTTATAGTCAGAAGAGTAACATATACCCACCAATACACAGGCAAAAGCTTCAACCACAGTCACTTGTATGACTGCATTTATCAAATTAGAATGTTTCAAGCAGCATTACTAGATGTTATTTTTACACATATAAATATTTTCCTACCTTAGCTCACTTTCTACTCTGAAGCCTTTTCTTCTTGCCAGCTCCATCAAAAATATCCTTCTGGTCCTACCCATCTTCCTCTGAATAATAAAAATGACAAACTCATTGAACTTTATTTCATAACTGCAAGTAAGATTTGGGGTATGTATCCCTTTCTGTCTCTTCCTCTGGGAGAATACAGCTGGAGCTCTGATCTTATCCATGATGCAAGGTAGAAGTGTTTTCACTTGGGTAAAAGGGAGATAACATGCTTTCTGGCAGACAGCAGCTGTATTTAATGTCACCACCCATTGAAGTAATTTTCTTCTGTTTCCCCTCTGAAATCAAAACCAGGTGCTACACAAGCAGAAACATCATTTGCTTTTTACCAGCTGGGAATTCATGTACAGAAATACTCCAGACAGGTGCAAATATGCTTTTGTTCTTCAAAAGAGCCATTACCTGTAAAGACTTTATCCAAATAATATTGGTCATGGCAAATTTATCTGAAAATATCATCCAGGTCTTCAGCTGGTTTAATGGCCCAGTTCCATCAATTTCTGCTTTCAAATCTTTTCTAAATCTCACTTTTCTAAATTGCAGGGCACAATAGTTTTCAGTTTATTAAAAAAAAAATTAATTCCTCTGATTGTTAGTTAAGAACTATGTCTTGGAATACAACTAAATAACAGTATAAAAATACATTGTATTTGTACTCATATATATACCTGTACGCTAGCTACTTCCATGTAATTAATTTGATTAAAAAACAGATTTAAGAGAGCAAACAAAAATAAGTTATTGTAATTGACTTTACAATAAAAGAAACACTTTGCTGTTTTGATAGTAAGGCAACAAAAGAAGAAGAGAAAGCATTAGAGATGTGTTTAAATATAACTTCGGTGTGCATTGCCAACACTGCTTTCTACTATTTGCCCTAGTATGTACTGGTATCTGTGGCAGGTACAGTAGGGAAAAGGTAACTACCCTCCTGCTTTTAAGCACACAGTTATCTCCAAACAGCTACAGAAGAGATTATGCAAACTGTGTACTTTCCTTTCCTAGAGAATGGGGTATTGGTCATCAGAGTACTATGCTAAAGTTTGTTGCAGACATTGTGCTGGATCCAGTGAGGTGTCACTCTCTATTTCCATCAGCGCAAACTGAGTGCAAACAAACAGGTGTACAGCACAAGCATCTATTTCATCACAAATCTACTTCAGTGGTAAATATCCCCATTTCTATGTCAAGTTGGATTTTTATTTTTAGCATAGCAGAGAATTTGGATTTTACCAGTTCTTCAGAATGCGTCAGAAATGTTGTATCTTGCAATTCTCATTGCTCATGTTCAAGAGAGGAAGCAAGGTGGAAAAATCCTGCCTAAGATAGATCAACTATCAACTTTATTTTCAGCCATTTTACCACAGATGGATATACAACCTGAGTTACAGAAAAATGAGTCAAAACCTGGTTTCTGCAATTATGGTCGTGAGTATAAAATTAAATTATAAAAGTATTACTGACATTTTCCCAGCCCTATAACTCTTGCTGCTTCAACTGTACTACACAGATATAAAGAAACAGTTTTATGAGAATAGAAACTAGTCATCAAAAATTAATATAGAGCTTTCAGCTCTGAGGTCTTCCTGAGGCCATGAAGAAAATATATACATAGTTCAGTACATATACTAGACTACATTCATTTCCTCCCTTGCTTAAGGATAACCCAGAAGCCAAAATATCTGCTCCTCTTTCTAATTCATAACATTAAATTGTCAAAATGTATCATTTCAAGGATATTTTAAAATTATATGAGATATTTTCGTAGGAACAGGAAATTGGACAAGCAGACTTTAAGAGGCTGAAGGAAAAGAATAGCAAGGAAGAAAAAAATAAAATAATAGTGATGGATCTGGCATTAAGGCTGAGCAACCTATTTTGATTGCTCCATGTCTGGTTTTCATACTACTAATCAACCACAACTAATTGAACGCTGGCCATCTCCCTCTTTACAGCTTTCCTAGGCTTGGTAAAACACTTATTCTCAAGCCTTACAAGAAATAGTGTATTTGAGAACAGATTCTTTACATATGTTAAACAAAGTCTTATTTTATGTTATAATTAATTCAGTGCTCTCAAATATGTAAATATAATTTCCCCCAGTGTAACATCAAGATGCTCAGTGTCAGTAAAATCCTTCTGGCATGAAAAACATAAGTTATTATTCCTTTGTGTTACTGTAATAAATCCCGAGCCAGATTTTTGAGGGGTTTTAGGTGCCAAAAAGCTGTAAATAGAGGCCTAGTGGGATTTTCAAAATGCCTAAGCAGCCTAGGCACCCAGCTCCTCTGGAAAACAGTTTTTGTCTTTGAACCTTATGCAAAGGATTTTCTCTAAGAAACACAGTACAGAGCCATATAAAGGTCTCTGCCAATGATGCAATTTTATTAAACATACTTTCTAGAATTAACAGGATTTACATACCCCTGATGAGTGAATAACCTACACTCCAACATTGTTTTATAATATTTGATAGTAACATAAAGACTAGAATATGCATCAGGGAGAGAGCACATACCGTGCACATCTCTTATGTATGACAAAAGAAAAGTACCTTTTTATCTGTGTCATGACATCAGCTACGATTAGTGCCCTAAAACCACAGAAACTTGCAGAAGTTTTTTCCATCTCCCAGAGTTCAGAGTAGTTCACATCCCTGGGGGAAATCTAGAACAAATTTCCATGTACTGATGTTTCTGCTGTAGATCAGTTTTGTGCACTTTCAAGGACATGGATTAAAAACAACATGTGCACAAATGTTGATGGGCATTTCAGTAAACTTTCATCACCTGTGCTGTTGGCGCCAACAACAGCATCCCAAGCAGTTCTCAAGCAGTGTCTAATACAGACCTCAGGCTGAAGCCCAGAGTACTGATCTGGCTTCAAAGGGGGTTTGGCTGGGAGGAAAAGTGCAGGAACACACAAGTTCTGGAAAGCCCAATTCAGCACCTCTGAATTTCAGTATTCACACATACTTTCACTGCACCTTCTTGATTATTGTTAGACAGTATTTTAGTGGCCTGCTCTCATCTGAACTGCATTGTAAATATTTTATAAAATGTTACTTGCCATTTTATATAGTTTCCCTGTCAAGAGCGGTGCAAGGTGCTTTTAATACACAGCTCAATATGCTAACCTTCAGAGAAAGCATCTCTTAAGTATCATCAGTAAAAAACAGAGGAATTATTGTTCGGATACCTTTTCTGATTTCACACAGGCATAACAGCATTTCATGCATGTTTCAAAAGGACTAATTTTTCATAGGTTTTTCATTTTAAAGTCTTTGGTAATTCAGCCTTTTCCAATGAATGATTTCATGGAAATTTTAAAATCATTTGGATAGGTTTTTTTGTCCAGCTATTACCATAACTCGGCTTTTGTTTAAATTCCAGCCTTCTTGGTTGCTCTGCATTCCCTTTGCTATTGATACTTGTTCTACTAATCTGTCAAATAATGACAGGTGTTTTTCCTGGTTTTAGTAAAAGTTTTGTGGAATCCAATTATATTTTTAAACGAAGTTATTACATAGAACTTTTCTGTATTTGTACCATTTACAAACTTGAAGGATGTACATATACCAAAATATAAAATATCTAAGATTTTTTTTTTGTGAAGTTTAATCTCTTACAAACAAATACAGGCTTTGTTTTCGTTTTCATCTATTTATTTACTTGTTTTACTTCAACCTTCTGCTTCATTTGTCACAGGGAACTGTGACATATGGACTCATGAAGGCCTCAAGTTTCTGTCCTTAATTCCACATTATGTGGGATGTTTTCATTATTGTTTGGTAAGTAATCAACAAGCTTAATATGTTACAATCCTGTTGAACAAAATGGATCAGTACCTAGAATTTCTGGACACTGCTACCCGCACCAGCAAACCTTGTTTGAACATATGTTGCATGAATCTGTTTCTTTAGTCTCTGTATATTAGATATATTTATTATATATACTAACATACAAATTCTCACAAAATGAGCATGGTAAAAAATCTGGCTAGCCTACAAAATAAAGAAACAACATTACGCCGTTACACTTTATTTGAGTGTTTTGGATAAATGTACTATTATTAAAGACAAAGAAATGGTGAAAAGTACATTCTGTAAGTATTGATACTTTTAAAAATCCATCCTCCCTCATCCTCTTTGGTGTTTGTATTCTACAAGAACATTTTCAGGGGGCATCTTCAAGGTATACATGCTTCAGTTATTCACATCAAAGATGATAAACTCTATAAAATACCCAGATGACCAAGAATTCTGAAAAACTGATGAATTGACAGTATGCTTTCAACATCCTTGCTTGGTTGTATCCTGGTGCTTGGCACATAAGATAAAGCAGGCTTAGAGAAGACACGAAATATTGTAGCTGCAGTCATTAAATGTACAATCTTTCTGAGGTACGTGGTCAGAATAATGGCTTACTTTTTCTTCTTTTTTCCCCCAAATTGAAGATGTAAAGCTGAAAAAGAAGAATGTATTTAGCAACATATCTCAAACACTGCCCATGTAGAAATCATACCAAGAGCTGACAGCTTCTTTAATTGACTGCATACACAGCTATTACAGAAAGGGTTTGTTCTTCCAAGCCCCCTCTGAGTAAACTAGGGAAAAGAGATATCACAGTGCTGAATAATTAAATAGAGCAATCAAGTTTCCTTTTACAGCGTGGGGAAAAGTAAATGTGACAAATGCTGGCAGGAGCTACCTCCTACCCACACCAGTGGGCCTATATTCCCTGGAAACTATTATTTTTACTTTTTCTTCAGTCTCTCTGTTCAGTAACAAAGCTTACAATTTCTCTCTTTGTTTACTCTATTAATGGTAGCTGCTGCTCCTTGTGATTGTTACAGGAGTATTCTTTGATTTTTTTTGTGCTGGTGCATCAATGGTTTTCTTTATGCTGTAGTCTCATGAGAGCCTCATGAACCTCGAAAGCAACAAGTGGAGACATATCTGCATAATATCATCAATATACATTGTCAGGCAGGCTCTTTGACAGTTATGCATCTCTTTCAAACACAGTTTACAAAGGTAAAAGTCTCTGGATATTGAGTACCATTTATTTAGACTCACATTCATCTCATTGCCAGTATTAAGGACATTTCAATTAACAAATTCCAAATAACCCTTCAGAGATGACGTACTACACAAATTGTGTTTCATGGCCTATATTTAGGCAGCTGAAAAGATTCTTT